GATTCTGCGTCGCCTGATACGTAGGCGCCCCAGCGCCAACTTATTCATGCCTACCTTTGGCTCCGCCCGAATTAGCTTCGATTGTCCATGGAATGGGTTTTCGCGACTTTGTTTCTCTTCGTGATCCGAACCGCGTAAAGCTTTGTGCATTGCTTCAAGTGATCACAACTGATACAATCCTACTGAGAAAGAATGCAAGGATTTTCCGCGAAGGATTCCTCTAAGTTATCTAGAAAGTAATGTTGGGGTTTTGAAACCTTCTCCGAAGCAACATACCTCAGGTCAAGATCAACATTTTTAGTCGGCTATAGAAGCACTGACAACCACGCATCTTCTCCAAAGACTGAAATAATATGCATGATCAAGATATAAAGCCAGCGGAAGCACGGAAATCGTCAGAGGTCTTACCCATTCCATCTCGATTTTTAAGTTTTTTATTCTGCTAAGAAGAAAGAGTTAAGAACCGGAACGACGTGCGAAAGCTTACAACATTACACAAGCCACTTACATGGTGTTGTATTTAGAAGTTCAGCGACAAATCTGAGTGCTGTTCTGCCGGTATTGTTTGCCGTCCACAAAACGCGCCACGGGTGTTGGAGTGCTCTCGTTTCGAAAGCCGAGCGATAGACAATGTTGGGAAAACCTCTGAGGATCACCGAAATGCTCCAGTACCTTAACGTTATTGTGGCAGGTTACTGGTAGAATGATTTCGATGCTGATGATGACATCGCGAATGAAGTGGATTTTTTTTCTCATGCGCAACAACTTTAGTGGCTCTTCCGTTTTCGAGCAAGTATGTTCCCGTCTTCCACCAACCCCCCCCCTTCCTCCCACATGCCATATTTCAGGAAAAAAACTCTTGAAGACTGCGGGTTTGCGCGCTATGAATTTCGTGATGAGAAGCGTTCTCAAACATGGACACATACGCACAGACATGCTAGTGATTTATATATAGAGGGATGTGTGGATCTCTTGCACGGCAGCGCCTGAGCTCTACAAAACGGAGAAGGTTTTCACATTTTATGGATCAACCAGTTCAGCTCCGCACGCTACCGCGCACATTATACGGTAGGGTTTGTTGGAACTATATAGCCTGTGGAAAACTAGGTCCCACTGCTCAAAAATGCAACACTACCTTCCCCCATTTTTGTTGAAGCTCACCGCACGATACGCTGGATAGAATGCAAAGCTAGAGTGGTGGATGTAAGCAACCAACATGCATCGAATGTGAGGGTAATTCAGCGGTCAATTGATATACACTGCGTTCAATAATGATACAGCCACCTAAAATTTGTTCGAAAATTTAAAGTTCAAAGAGTTTCTGAAAAACTGTCAAGACAGAAAATGTGCCAATTTCATGGCGAGGTCAGATATCAGCACAAGAATCCACGTTGAAAACACTAGATTTTGTGTCTATTTTTTTAGAAGAGGTTGATTTTCCTATGTTCAAAAATGATACAGCCACCCCGCGTTTCTTCATTAAAATTCGTTTTTGCTTTGTGAAACTGCTTCGCAGCTATCAGGCTTTTACCTTAATGTTCCCACAAGATAAAAAAGACAGTTGAGTTTCGAGAAAAGGTAATTGTAGCAAGAAAGGACCAGGAATCGGCGAGCAGTCAAATTGCGCAAAAATTGAGTCAAAGCTCCAATACGGTTAACAATTTCTCCTGGGATCCTGTAGCTTTGGAACAAAGAAGAGCTCTGGATGTTCATCATTGCTTTTTGGTCTATTTGAACTTCGCATTTTGGGGATGGATTTCGATTTCATCGATTAGATTCCAGTCTTCTTCCAGAAATTAACTTACTTTTTACTTTTTTTAAACTTTTTACTTTAATGGATATTGTTTAGGATGTGTTGAAGATGAGGTCATTCTTCGATGGAGAAACCTTGTTTGTGCAAAGAAATTCTCTCGGAAACTGAGACTTTTTTTGATCGAAAGTGTAACCACGTCCACTGGAGCAAAATCAATTCTTCTGTCTGTTGTGTCTTACTTTCTACACTGGTGTGCAAAACTTAAGGACCAGATAGATAAATTGTCCTAACTTATTAACAATTAGATGGAATTGGATGAAACTGTACGGGCATAATGCTAGAAGCCCTACAGTCATGGGCCCCGAAGTGGGCCTCATGTCTTGCATCCGCCTTCAATCTGGAGCCAAATGGGGTGGCCACCCAGAACGATGGGCATCGTGGGGCAGGACAAGAGGGGTAAATAAAGCAGGGAGAAGTGACTGTGGAATGTAGTGGTGTTCTTGATTACACCAAGTCTCACAAACAACACTGGGGTGACTTTACGCGAGGAAGAATTATTGGGAAACTGAAAAAAGGAAGTTGTGTCCAGGAGTTTTGTGTCAACCACAATTGTTTTTTGTGCATGAGAAGCAATGTGGACCGCAGCCACTGCTGTCCCAAGAAGAGGAGGTTGTGGGTCACGAACAACCGCAGCAGCAGGTTATTGCTAGGTTTTGCTACAGGCAAAAATGGACCCACGTCAGTCACATGCTGCAGTTGACAAAAACATTTANCAGGATTGTAAGGCATGTAATCCCAGACCGGACAGTGGCGCAGTGACCGC